AGAGTCTTTGATGCAAATCATTTGTTTTCTTTCATAAAACAATGAATAAATCAAGTTATAAACTGTATTTCTTCCTACATACTTCTTATATTGTCATCTTAGATCTACATTTTTTGTGCTTTCAAAAACTGAAGAAGATCTCATAATAATTAATTGAAACAAACTACAGGACTTGTATTCTGATGGCATACCATACCAAACAAGAGGTAAAATTGCAATACCATCAGAACGATGATTGGCTTTTAAATAATTTTAATCGTGCTTATTATTGTAAGCTGTTGATCGCATGGTTTCATGGTTAATATGTTTCGTGGTCATAGACGTGTCGCATGATATCGCATTATGTGAAATTGCTTTACTGTGTAGAGCCAAAACGGGAATGGCTGACCGAAACGTATTACTTTGTCACCGTTTGTTCAAACAACAGAAAAAGCTGCTTTAACACAGACGGAGGAGACAGATGCAACGATTTTTAAAAGAATAATATTTGTATTTAAAAAAGCTACGAACCGTATATATTTATCCTTCAAATGCTTATAATTGTATTAAAGAAGTCTAGTCTACCATGAGCTCATTTTATATCATTTACAAATATTGAATACGTATTTAACTAAACATGTAACTTATTTCCGATTAACACAAATGTTTCACATGCAACTTACGTTCTGTCTTAAGAATTTACTCTGATAAAATTACTGTGCACGGTCATGTTATATATCTACCTCCAAATGATACCAAAATCGTCTGTAATCAACCGATTAAGAATTTTATGCATATATTGTGTTCAACCTTAATGTTCTACAGAAATTAGAAACGTCAAAGAACGATGTGACGATGATGGGAGGAAGTCGTAAACGCCTAAAATGTGGCTAACAGTCTGGCAGAAAAATCGAAATCACTCTTGATACTTAGTATACGTTTTGCAAAATGAAGACGTTAAACTTACATGTTAAAGGGATTGAAATATTAATTTACAATACTTTCCCAAGATGGGGAAGTTACTTATGTCGTAGGTAATTACATACTATACTTTAAATACGTTAAAACAAAATGAAGTCCATGACTTCAATGAGAATTTTCGTTATATGAAAATAATTAATATGAAAATAAGGGCAACCTTATATCTATGGACTTCAACAGTGAGCGACACAACAGATCATGTTTACATGCACTACATAAAGGAGACTTAAATGTTTTCATATTCATTGCAGTATTTATAGTGTATTTTGGTCGTATCTAATCTGATTCTGACCAGTAGCTGCATTTTGCTCAATTTTGCAAAAGTATGCTTAGAATTGAGAATTATCAAAAGAAAGATTATGACTTTCTGTTAGAATGTCAGCCACTTAAAGAGCGTTTCTGACAGGGCTAGTTTGGACACCTGTAAACATTTTTAAAAAACAAACCACCTGGATATATATTTGACTTACTTGACCCTTAGTGACGTATGTCTATGTGTATAACATGAAACCCTTCGTATATATCGAATACAAAAGTTTTGAACAAAAAACTAAAAAAACTGATCATTTGCATGAACTTTTCTGCAACAGCCTTTTTTATCCCGCGTAATATATTTAAGTTACCAAAATGACCTGATAATTTATCCAGGTAATGTACAATAACTTCATAATAATGGAAATGGTCTTCTTTTCATCATAACAATAAACCAACCAAACTAGATTTATAAACTACCTGTGGTAAGCAATAAATTTAAGATCTCGGTATTCACCGCAACTATCTGTGATCACTGGCTAGGGTAATTCCGAGTGTATTCATCCGATCACCAAGAACAGTTATTCTTTCCCTCTGTCCATTTGTAAACACATGGAAGCGCCCGAAAGTCATAGATTGCAAGTGCATTACTTCATCGCGCATCGTCACTGTGCTTACTTGTCCTGCCATCATGAAAATACTTAAAACAAGAAGTATCTTTTAAAAAGATACACAACCGTGGTAAATATGATAAACAAGATCAAAAAGGAAAGGTGGAGTTCAATGAACACAACTCCAACACGATCCACTAGAAGAACTAGTGGCAAGGAGCACATGCAGACCCAAAACAAAAACAGGACAGCGCACAAGGCAGAGCATGGACAGGCTAACTCCCACTTGGTCCGTCAGTTGTAATCAAAAGAGGAAAGCGTGTGTCCAACTGACCCAAAATCTTACGAAGTTTGTAAATCACATCGCCAAAAAACCCAGGCTAGCTAATCATTCGTCGCAGAAGAGTTTTTAAACCAATATTGAATTTTGAAATTAAATCACAATTACGATTGTAAAATTTTGTAAAATATTTCCGTTATTTATGATAGCGGTAGCCCTGTGTTAGAAGTTTGCTGGTAATGAAAATATTCTGCTCGTTAAATTCCTTTACGTTGCTACAGGCCATAGCGAATCTAATTAACTGAGAAAATATACCCCATAAGACCTTGCATGAAGTCTATGTTAAACATAGTCCTGGAAGGATTGACAGCCTTAGACAAAACTTTGATAACAATAAAACTAATTATGCCCAACCAACCATAAAAAACTTATTATATCAATGCAACATTCTACCGCGTATATCAACGTTTACGGAATGCAGTCCCGACAAAGTTCAGTCATATATATTAGCTTTTGAATCAAACTCAAGACAAGAAAAGAAACATATTTCGCTCTAAAACAAAAATACTTAACTGGGATAGGTAGGCAAAGAGCTCAGCATGTTTGTCACCGTGTATTTAATATGATTTATATAATCATTCTAGAAATCTGGAAAACATAATATTCTTCGGGAAGTTGCTTTTTAGGAGATATCTATTCTGTTTATCTTGTTTGTTGCTTCGAAACTGTAATAAGTCTCACTGTAATACGACCCTACTATTTTAAGACATACTGCATGCTTAATGGTCAACCCTGTAACAGTTGGACACACGTTTCCCCTTTTGAATACATCTGACGGACCAAGTGGGACACTATGACGGACAGCTCTTAAAGCCCTTTGTGACTGAATTGTATTAATGTTCTTCTTCTGCCTTGCGTCGTCGGGCCCTGTCCTGTTTTTTGTTTGGGGTCTGCCTGGGCTCCTTGCCATTGGTTCTTGTGCTGGGTCATGTGGGGGTTTCCTTGTTGATCTTGTTTATCATATTGTCAACCATACCCTCATAGGCAATATCTTTGCTATTGAATTATTCTTCGTAATCACGTCACATAGCATAAAAAACGAGTGTACGTGTAAAATCAAGTATGTCAATACAGGGACAAAACATGCTTTTATAATCTATTTTGGAAGTTACATTGTTGATCATGATGATGAAAATAATTTTTTTACTCTACTCTAGTTTAAGCATGTAAACGATATTTTGGAATTTGTGACAGGTTTGGCAAATTTTGAGGTAGAACAATAAAATCCAATAAAATAACCGACCAAAAGTTTCAATTAACAAGCAGTACATCTATCACAGCTTGATCCAGATATTGTCTTGTGCTCATTAGCCTGACCAAGAGCTATAAGGATTAAAAGAAAAGCCAGATATACTTGTTTTTTATGGACAAACAGCAAGGCCGATTTACAATATCTCATCGCTTCCCCGCCTTGAACTTAGTGGCGTATCTTGACTCTTGCAAACATTTGAGGCCCTCAGAAGAAAAATAGTGCCAAGATGGACAAATTATCCAGCACGTCTGTCCATTGTTTACTTTTATTTGATCTGATAATAGGGCGAAAATGCCAAAGTCTCCTATACAACAAACTGATGATTCTGCAATGTTCTTAAACAAAAATCAGGGCATGACCTTTGGATTTTTGTTTGAAAATATGAGAAAACATTAGTTTCAAGCAGAGGCTAACAGTAATGAAACACAGCGACCGAACATAATATCATGTCGGGCACAGGGAAGCCTTAGAAGCACCGATTTGAATTTTACATATAATTTAGGGTGACAATGGCAAAACAGAATGCACAAGGGGTATTTAATAGATTTGTGACATATTCTGAAGTTAAAAGAAAGGTTGGTAACATTGTTTTTCACAATAATGATTTAATGTATCTTGGGACATAATACGAACGGCCAAGCAACGAACAATAAGATGAGATAAAATTACAGTGCGTGCTCCTTGCTAGACGGGCAGATAAGATAGCATTAATTTGGTTTGTGTGTCAAGTCCGTGTCCCAAATGTAACAAAGGAATTACAAGTTGTTCATGTAACATTATATACTAAAAGTACATTTGTTTAACTTGTAGTTCCTTCTGAAAAGCTATAGCACCAACAGGTTTATTTAGTAGAACTAAATACAAGCAAACATGTTCGTCGACAATGGAATTGCAAGAAAGTTATGTACTTTTTTCTGTTGCCAAATTCTAGAAGCCGTTCTCTCACATCCAAGACAGAAGTCATGCTAGGAAAATTGAGAAACGCTTCAATAAAAAAATGTTCTTCGACTAGTATGAAAGGTCTGTATTTTCTGCATAACAACGCTCCTTAAACATCCACCTTACTGTCCATACTTTGCAGCCTGTGACATTTTCCTTCTTCCCAGACATATCTGGTATAAACTTTTTGAAATGGAAATGAGTACGATATGCATATGAAACATAATTATATTTTGGACTCTAAAACTGAAAACTTGACTATATGGGATGTGATATGCGTTTGATATCGATGTTCTGAAACGAGGCTTAATTGTTGAGACTGGATTCGATGATGATTTCATTTCCGTTGGAGAATCATGTGGTTTAAACGCTTAAAGTGTGAAATAAATTAAGTTTTAATGGACTCGTAATTAGTCATTTATTTTTGAAGACTTAGTTTTAACAACGCAAATGAAAAAACTCAATGATCAATCTAAACGGGTTAATTAACGGAAATATGTTATCTATAGTACATATAGAGCAACAAACGGAGGAGGTCATACTAGTAGGTACATTATTTTAACTGACGTAAGATATGAAATTTCATACTCAGATAGAGTAACTGTCTAACACGGAAGAACTAGATTATTTGATATCAAAATATTTCACCAGTTCCTCAAAAGATAAGAAAGTCTAGACTAAGCATAATATGTTTCTAACTTGAATTCATTATTATTTTGTTTCACCAGTGGAATGGAGGCAAAACAGCTTGTGTTTCAATGTATCATCCTTTTATCTATTTTGCTACAAGGTAAGTTTATTTCTCTCCTTATATTTATCAAGATATTTTTTTAGATCATAACTCGTGACATTCGTGCAAATTTTAACCCTTGCCTTAGTTCAGAAATAACAATATGCGTCGTATTAGATGATGGCAGGACATATAAATAGTTTACCTTCAATAAGTTGGTTACCTGTCATACAGATAGAGTGCTCAGACAAAAAAAAGTCAACTGGTACAATAAAGAAAGAAAACGGAATCTTAAAAAAAAAACCCATTTAAAATGGCAAAATTTAAAAATGTCTCGGTTTGAGGAGGGAACTTAAGTCCCTAAGTACCGGCTAAAATCTTTTCGGTATTTAATAAGAAAAACAATTTTATCGGGTGTGGTGGAAAAAGGTATATATTACCCTTTTGTAAATTGCTATGCTTTATGAATTAAAATAAGGCTTAGCTGACTCTATGAGTTGTAAGGAGTGTGAAACTATTATAAAATACTACAAAACAACATATTTTTGTAAAAAAAACTTATTAAATAAACTATTATTTCAGTACAGGGGCAATTTGACCCAATAGCGTTCACCCTCGGTCAGGGTTATCACATGGACATTTCAAATGCAGCAAGTGCTACTAAAATACCATTTTCATTGGTACGAGGTTTATTTATTTATTTAGTTTTAACACATTTATCTTTGCTCAATTGTGAAATGCTTGTTTTTTTACGTAATATGATGGGAGAAAACCGAGTCCCTAGAGAAACAGAAAAATAGAGAAAATAAGAATCCCTAAAGAATGTCCAACACATCATAATTGAAAATGTTGCAGGCTTGGTTTGATTGAGCCTGTTCATGGATGGTAATGTAAAGTGCAAACTACCATCCACGCCCCCTAGCACCGACTTAGCAGAATTCAACATTTAAACATGAAATGGTGAAATTTTGAATTTAGAAACATCTGCAGATGTGTTCTGCGACAAAACGACAAAACTGAAAACTTTGCAGGCTCAGTTAAATTGAGTCTGTCCATGTTTATAAACAACTCTTTAACCTGCTCAATCAAACTGAGTCTGCAATTCTCTTGTAATTTTGTTGTAATTAATGCTTCCGAGGGATCACTTTGTTTCCAGATTTTTATACTTCACAACAGCAGGTGTTAAGTGCTGTGTGGCAGCTGTAAAAAGTTGCCCCGAACTTCACTTCAGTGTTGTTATATTTTTTTTGGTCCTTCGGGATCACTGATGCCGGCACTATTAAGTGTTCAGAAATTGAGTACCGCCCTTGAGTACCGCTCAAGCCGGTGCTAGGGGGCGTGAGGGATGTTGCACGTATTCATTATCCCTCGTGTACAGACTCAATCAAACCGAGTCTGCAATACTCTTGTAATTTTATTGTGATTAATGCTTCTGAGGGATCACTTTGTTTCCAGATTTTTGAACAATTAGATAAATACAGAATCCCTACCAATACTTAAAAAAGAACATGATCATGTCTAAAGTAAGAATCGGACCCACAATTTGAGAAGCAGACACCATAAGATAAAGTTGCCTCTCACATAATTATTATACACTTTTAAGTAAATTGTTTTTATGTTACTGCTTATATTATTACCTCTGGGTGTAAATGTTTTAAAACTGCCGACCTTTTGGACAGATTGTACCAGTATCAGTTTACAAGAAAAGCCAAATAGAGATAAGCAAAATCCCTAAAGAAAGCCCAACACGGTTAAATTGAAAGTGTTGCAGACTCGGCTTGATTGAAGTAATGCTAATTGAAAAATACCGTCCACGCCCTTTAGTTTCTGCTGAAGCAGAATTCAACATTTAACGTAAACTTTGAAACATCCGTAGATGTGTTCATATCGCAGGTTTTAAAAAGAGGAGTAGTCCGGACAAATTTTAAAAATCAAAATCATTGAAAGGCCATAATTCTGACAAAAATCAATGAACCAAAAAATGTCGATGAGGTGCACATTTTGACATTTTATTGACCATTTCTGTAAAGTTTTGTTGAAATAGCACCAGTAGTATCTGAGGGTTAGTCCAGACAAGCTTATGTGTAGCTGCAACACAGAACACCTTTTTTCAAGAACCATAACTCATCAAAAAATATTCAAAATTCTGGAAACAAAGTGATCCCTCGGAAGCATTAATCACAACAAAATAACATAAGAATTGCAGACTCGGTGTGATTGAGTCTGTACATGAGGGATAATGAATAAGTGCAACACCCCTCACGCCCCCTAGCACCGGCTTGAGCGGTACTCAATTCTCAACACTTTATAGTGTTGGCATCAATAATCCCGAAGGACCAGAAAATATAACAACACTGAAGTGAAGTACGGGGCAACTTTTTACGGCTGCCACACGGCACTTGACACCTGCTGTTGTGAAGTACAAAATTCTGGAAACAAAGTGATCCCTCGGAAGCATTAATCACAACAAAATAACATAAGAATTGCAGACTCGGTTTGATTGAGTCTGTACATGAGGGATAATGAATAAGTGCAACATCCCTCACGCCCCCTAGCACCGGCTTGAGTGGTACTCAATTCTCAACACTTTATAGTGTTGGCATCAATAATCCCGAAGGACCAGAAAATATAACAACACTGAAGTGAAGTACGGGGCAACTTTTTACGGCTGCCACACGGCACTTGACACCTGCTGTTGTGAAGTACAAAATTCTGGAAACAAAGTGATCCCTCGGAAGCATTAATCACAACAAAATAACATAAGAATTGCAGACTCGGTGTGATTGAGTCTGTACATGAGGGATAATGAATAAGTGCAACACCCCTCACGCCCCCTAGCACCGGCTTCAAGCCGAAAACTGTGTAATATGCCCAAGTACCTGACCTACCAATCAATTCTGTAAAGTTTCATTGAAATTGCAATAATGGAATAAGAGGAGTAGCCCGTAAAACTTTAGAAATAAAAATAATTAAAGGGCATAACTCCGATAGGAAATCATTGAACAATAAAACGCTGATGATATACACAACTAGACTTGGTTCTGATCTTTCCTGTAAAGTGTGGATGAAATTGCACCAGTAGTCTTTTAGAAGTAGTCTCGACAAGTTTTGTTACGGACGGACAGACGGACGTTCTTACGAAACAATAATAATGTGGTTACTCTATTTTTCACTCTACTTTTCCTTTTAGCCACATAAAGGAAAATATCCACATAAAAGTTATTCATATGTAAGCTCGAAAAGACATACAGACGGATAGACGGACAGACAGACGACGGAGAAGTGATCCCTATATGTCGTCACTACTCCGTAGAGGCGACACAAAAATGTGTGCTCTAAATGAGAAAACAAAAAGTGAAAATAAGTAAAAATAAAATTTTGAAAGGTTATCCGAGGTTATGAACCTGCATATCACAAAACAAGCTGTCAAAAGAAAAAGGGTGATAAAAAAGTATTCAAATGAGGCATACCGGAACAACCCGACTAGATAAAAACATCAATTTGAAAAGAACTTAAGTTCCAAAAACATGCACTCAACACAAAAATTTCGTGCTGAACGATCTTCAAAGTTCGCAAAAAATAAAATCTTTGATTAAAGGTACGGAGTGATATTTTAAAGTCACCACGGGACACAAATAACATCGATGTGACACTAAAATAACGAAAAGCAGGATCCCTAAATTAACATAACCTCTTTTGCACTCACGCTGAAATCATAATGTTCAGTGTTTTAATTGTACAACAGTATTCAATATTTGAAAATTAAAACCTTAAAAAGCACACACAATTTTGCCACTGACGCTTTTTCTGTCCGATTTGGATATAATATCCGAAAATTGTAGGAGATCGGCAAATCAATCATACTTTATTCCCATCATTATGACCTTGTTAACTCCTTTAACTAATTATAGCAAGTTGTTGTCTGCACTTTGATTGGTAAATATAGTTAATAAAGGTTTAATGGCGATGATATTGATTATATATAGTAATGTTCATATACCTTAATGTAAATCATATCTCTTCATAGGTGATTACAAACCATCATGAGGCACATTTGAACGCAGGTGAATTTACTTGCACGGAAAACGGACTGTACAAATTCCAGGCTTACTCCCTCACAAAGAGCGATTCGAGTCTGTTCCTCGAAATATATGTTAATAACAAGCTCCTTGCATCACTTTGGGGACACACAAAGGGAGATTACGCTTCCGCCGGAAATGCCGTCATAACTTCACTTGTTGTTGGGGACGTAGTCAGCGTAAAAACACGAAGCCAACACGCCGTTAATATATATGGGAAATCTGGACAAATTTATACTACATTCACAGGCGTTCAAATAGGTATCATAACGTTCAAATTAGTCAACAAATTATGTCAGTAAATTAATGACCAATTTGGCTTCATGTTTCAACAAGGCTAGTCACTAAGTATTATTTCTCGTGGTTCTGCTTACTTTTGTTTGCAAGAGAAAGGCTTATGAATAGAAAACAAAAACCGGAATCGCTAAAGAACGCCTTAAACGTCAAAATTAGAAATGTTGCAAGCTCGTTTTATTGATGAATAGTAGAGGTAATTGTCCCAGCATGTCGAAAGTAACTGAAACAGAAAGTTATTTTTTTTAATTGCAAGTGTTCTATCATACAGTACATTTACATAGTTTACATTTTCACAAATATCTTTATAATTGAGTTATTTGAGTTAAGTTTAATAGTGAAAATTGTATACTTGGTCATTTTGCAAGGATATGAATGCCAGTCTGAACCAGCAACACGCTATATGAAGGATATATTTAAATGATTTACTTTTACTAGATTCATCACTTGATGATACAGTTACGTTTATTAGATACAGGGCGGTATTCCAGCATGTCAGCATTCTCTGTTGGACTAACACAGCACCAAGAAGTCCACACAGGTCAAAGTGTCTTGTATAATAACATTTTAACCGACACCAACACAGCTTATAGCGCTTCAACCGGTGTTTACACAGTTCCATCAAGTGGACTCTATATATTTCACTTCTTCAGGTTAGATTTATTTGGCCTATGTTCTGCCTCGCGGATGGCGCCTGTAATACATGGATAATAATAAATAGTGTGTGACTAATATATTGTAACCTAACATCTAAAAGAATTTATTTATTTAAATATAAGTTTCTTTGATTAACAGAACTGTATATATAACATTCATTTCTTTTTTAAACAGACTCAGTAAAGAAGAACAGACTCCCTAAAGAAACAAACACGTCAAATTGTAAATGTTGCAGACTCGGTTTCACTGAGCCTGGTCATGAACCAAGTCAACAATATTCACTTTTTCATTTTGTTTTCATTGTTCCCTAGAATATCGTATTCTATTTCTATTTTAGTGTTTTTATCCTGTTTTGAGAAATAAAATCGTAAACATAACACCAGTTACCATTTTACAAAATAGAAAACAAAGTCATTACCTTCACAGTTGATATAAGCCATATTTGGACTTGTGTTCGACTCATGGTCATAAAGCATTGTAGTATAATCCATTCCAAAAAGCATTTAAATTGCTTTGCTTACAGTTTATCCCGTAAAAATAAAGAACTTTGGCAAGAACTCTTCCACAACAACATGTATGTGTGCTCTATATACGGCCTTACCGACCAGGATTGGACAGACGCTGGTAATACCGTATTACTCCATGTGAAAGAGAATGATCAAATTAGTGTGCGCGCGCATCGAGACAGCAGCTTGTATGGAACTTTTGATCAGATTTACTCGACTTTGTCAGGGGCTCAATTAGTCAGAGAGGGTGATATGTCGTACGGTCGTGGGTATACTTATTATTGTTTTTTGTTTGTTTTTTATCCACATGACCTGTATCTTCAAAATGAACCATGTTGTAATTTTGAAATGGAATTATTTATTGAAGGATTTATTTTATGAAAGGCAAGCTAGTTTTGTACTGGTCTGCTTTGCTTTCTGTTATCACAAATGTTGTCAATTAAGAATTTGTAATATATACGAGGGCCATTCAAGAAGTTCTGATCATGCGTCCAAAACGTTTTTGTCTTTCATTTTAAAATGATGAAACTTCGAATGAGTGACAAACAATTATATAAAGCTACTAAGTGACGTAGAATACGTTCCCGTGCGAATATAATATGATAAACAAGATCGACAAGGAAAGGCGGCATTCAATGAACGCAGCCCCCATCCGACCCAGCAACAAGCGTCAGCGGCAAGGAGCCCAGGAGGACTCCAAAGAAAAACAGGACAGGGCACAAAGAGGTCATTTGAACGTCGCTCAAGCGGTAAGCCTAGATGAACATCGTGTATATATAAAGATAGAGCTTTTGAGAGAAAAAACGGGAAAGGAAATCAATGAACAGTTATGTGAAGCTTGCGGTGAATCTGCTTTTTTTTTGATACAGTTTATAGATGAATTAGGCAATCTGCAGATTGAAAATTCAAGGTTTCCGACGTCCCCCGTAGCGGACTGCCAATTGAGGTTCCATGTTGAAAAAGTTAGGAACCTATTTACTAAAAGATCGGCGATTTACATGCAAGGAGTTAGCTGAAGTCTTGGTATTTTTGTTGGGTCAGTTCATACAATTCTGACACATTATTTGTGAATGCGCCAGTATTTAAACCGTATTGTCGCAATAGATGAGACATGGCTTCGTAGCTATGAACCCGAATTTAAGTCACAGTCCTCCGAATGGCACACTTCAGGGTCGCCAAAGACTGCAAAATTAAGACGAAAACAAGGGAACCTAAAACAGCTCACAATTATAGTCTTATGATAATGGCTGTTTACTAGCGGCGGATTATGTTCCTCTTAGACATAATTTAAAGGAAAATATTATGAAACATATTTGGAAGAGAAATTGTGACCAGCTATCAGGAAAAAAGGACCAGCGCTCTTACGGCCAGGGGTTCCGTAGTTCATGACAACGTAACTCCGAATAAATCACACCCAGCGACGTCAAAAATTGAGGAATGTAACTAGGAAGTGTTGCCTCATCCCCCTTATTCCCCGGACACAAGTCCCTGTGACTGTTACCTTTTTCCTAAACTCAAAATGTCATTCAGGGGTGTTTAATGACTTAGAGGAGCTTAAAGTAACCGTGGCCACGGAGCTTTAACGCATCACACGCGATTGTCTAGGAACGGGAATTGCCGATCTTCGGAAAAGGTCGAAAGTGGCAGTTACTTTGAAGAAATATAGATACGGTAGGTGTGTATCACTTATAGTTTTCTTACAATTAGACCATTATCAGAACTTATGGAATGACCCTCGTAAATGTGAACATCTTCCTTATATTATACATCTTCATTATATTACTTGTTACAGTGACTTTATGCTCATTTTCTCGCTATCAGTTGGTGTTGAATTAGTAGTATATACACAAGATTGACTGTCATAAAGGTGACTGGCCAATAATTGATGACGAAAAATATTAATTAATGTATATCATACAATTTAGTTTTAATATATAAACGACCGAAATTTAAAAAAGAAACAAAAAAAAAAAAAAAAACAGTCTGTCCTTTTCGTTTTTTAGAAATGCATTAATACATTCCAAAAAATATTTATAGAAAGTTTCGTTGGTCATTTGGATTATTGATAATGTTTTCACATTAAAAAAAAAACTGAACCCAGTTTTGACAAAATATCATGCTATTTTTACATCTTCAGTGACCATTGACCCTCGGATGGGCATAATGTCACTTTAATAATTATTTCTCAATTAAATCATACAAGTGTGCAAAAGGACAAATATCACTTACATAGTAAGGTATGTTTTTAAACTTGATAAATGTTAACTTGTTCATAGATATAAATCTTTTTTTATGTTGCCAATGCAATTTATTTTCTAGCTAAACCAACTGTCGCGTTTTCTGTCGGATTATCCCATCATGTTACAGTCACTAGTCATACCAAAATCATATTTGATCGAGTGTTCTTTGACTTTAACTCTGTGTACGATAAAAGGACCGGAGAATTCCTTGCTCCTATTGGCGGTCTCTACGAGTTCAACTTTCACGCTCTTGGGAAGCGAGATGGGAAAATTTGGCTTGAGCTTTTCCATAACTACAGGTTTGAGATGTTTTATGTAGTAAAGATGGCTAAATATTGTCATAGAGTGACAGCAAGGCAGCACAAATGTTAGATTTTTTATGTTTTATGAATCAGAAGAGCAGCACAGAAACGTAGTGTCTTATTAAGGGTGAGCTTTTAGGATCGTTGAATGCCCGTCGTCCGTCCACATTAGCATCCTAGATAACTTTTATTCTAACTCATCCGACCAATGACCTATGAAGCATCCTGACAAAGTTTGATGATAATTGAGTCAAAATGTGACCACTAGGGTGTTAACAAGTGTCAAGGTAATTGCTTGGATGAGTTTGAACATGGGTCATCTCAAATGAAAAACTAGGCCACAGAAGCTAAAAATAGTAACATCTTGTTAACACTTTAGTGGCTTCTATTTTAATCCAAATATCCTGGAAATTGGTCTGAAAGTTTGTTTTGATGATTTCTATGTCATGTACGAACATGGGTTTCCTAGTGTCAAAACTAGGTCACCCTAAACAAATGAGTAAAAACCTTGTTAACACTCTAGTGGTCACATCTTTGACTCAATTGTCATCAAAGTGACCTGAAAATTGGACCAGAAATGCACTGACTAATGACGAATTGAATTTTAATATTAATTGATATTACCGATGCAAAATCGTATTTTGATATTGACTGACCTACTTCATTTGTTTGGTATCACTTGACCTAATGTTTTGGTATTTGACTGGAAATTTGAACCATGGGTTTAATTTCTGAAGACAAATTGAATTTTGGTATCAGCTGACCTATTTTTGATATTATTGATATAATTTAACCTACTTTCTTGCCTTTTTATGTACATACATTGAATTTGGACAAAGGGTGTAATTTCTGGTTACGAGTTGAATTTTGATATTATCTGATCTCCTTTTGATATTTTTGATATCATTTGATCTACTTTCTTGTCTTTTCTACAGACAGATTTGAGATTTGGACTAGGGTTATAGATTTTGATGCTGAATTAAATTTTGATATCAGCTGACATACTTCTGATATTTTTATATCTCTTGACCTACAATGAAATGATGGGTCAGGTTTGTGATCTAGGGCCCTCTTGTTATTTAATATTCTAACGCATACAGCAATACTTTACAAATGATAGTTACCTTTTTAACTTGTTTGAACTGCCGCATGGTTCGAAGTATTTTTTAAAGCTTATTATTTCTGGCATGTAAATGGAGCATAGCAAGGCGGGGCGATATACGCCTGAATGTAAATATGTTTGGATTATCAAAAATAAACTTTCAGTAAGGGTAAAGATCCAATCAAAAAAACTTATCAGAAAAATGTTTTATGTTTATAATTTTTATGATCGATCTAGTTTATGACGAGGTGGATTTCTAACTTACGTGCATGATTTATAAAAAATAGGACTTCTAGACAATGCTATATGCCAAATACAGAAGCACAGTACATAATTTATCCACAAAATGTACGATGTATTTTCCTACATAGTCTACATAAAGCAAGTGACTCCCGGGGCCGAGCCAAGTTTGACCTTAGGGTCATGATTAATATATTTTTTGAAAAAATCTACAAATCGATGTTACATGACAAATATCAAAGCTCTTGGCTTTGCATTTTTAAAAAAAAACAGACTAAAATTTGTTTCTCCAATATAAGTTTTCCTATATAAATCAAGTGGCCCTACAGAAAGCCCAAATTTTGTTCTGCTCATTGCCTCTTTTTTAGTTATGTTTCTGCTAAAATGATTTAATTCCTTTATATAGGTTCAAACGATACAGAGCAGGAACGAACTCTTTAAAGAGGTACAAAATGACCTTGAAATTGACCTGAACAAGGTCAAACCTGCGCTATGTACATCATTTCCGTATGGTTAATATGTCTGCCAAGTAATTTCAATTTCCTTCCACTGGTAAATGAGATAGAGACCGGATACAAAAATACTATTACAGACGGACGAACAACCAGTTGCGTAAAATTATATACGGAATTACTTTCGGGCGTAAAATTAAAATCTAAATGTAATCGAAAAAATGCACATTTCTACCGTAACCATGATAGACACTTTGTTTCGTCGAATATCTTAAATGCCTTGTGATAAAATTATATTATAAAACGTTTTAATTTTTAATTCTAGGTACGTTGATTCACTGTACAGTCATACTCCCGGCCACTATGCTACAGGTGGTAATGCGGCAGTGTTAGAACTTGACGCTGGTGACGTTGTTTACGTCAACGCCAATGGTGACGTAAACCTTTACGGCGCTCATGACCAAATCTACTGCACTTTCACCGGGTACTTGCTGTTTGCTACTGCTGAGTCGGTAGCAATTGTAGGTTAAATGTTTATATTCGTATGTCATATAAGTATCCTTGGAATAAACCACACGGAAACTGACATAATAAAGTGTAAGATTTATATATCTCTTAGCTCACCTCGAGCATAATGTGTTTAGATGACCCTTGTCCGTCACATGTGTTTTTTAAACAAGCAATATCTTTAACTTACTGGCCAGTTGTGATGAAACTGCAAAAGAATGATTTTGAGTTGATTCCTTTATTGAAAATGTTGTTTAAATATTTCGGATCTTCATTTTCTCACCAATCACTGTCTTTCATGAGACGCATTAAGAATGATCCTCTGTTTGGTCTTAACGGCTTATTGGCACATAACTAGCATGTTTTAGCATGTTCTTCTATTTATCATGTAACACATAAAACTGTCAAAATAACAAAATAATCTAATTTTGTAGAAACGGCATTTTTAATTTAAAGAAATAATTCTTGAAAACAAATTCCTCCGCCCCTAATTTTTAGAATTTTGTAAAGGCGTCCATTTTATCTTTCAAGTTGAGATAATTTCCTTTGATAAGATATGCAACAGATTGAAATGAAATAAGATTCCTACCTTTAAACATCGATCCAAAAATATTCCTTTGAGTCACATAAAATTTTCTGCGCTTTTTCCCTTGACATGTAAAATTCAAACTATAGTTCACCATTATTTCAGTTTCAATCAAAGTCAAATCGGCAATCAAAGTCAAAATACGCAAACATGCGTCTTATTTTTCTGTACGAAATCTGCTATGGTCATAGTATTATTTTTACAATAGCTTTAGCTCGTACATTTGGTTTGCTATTGCTGATCATGGTCATGCAACTACAATTGCAGCAAAATAATGAGTGTTTCAAAAACATGTTATTTAAGATTCCAATAGCAACATGTCTTTGTTGACGTGCTACCATCAAATTCAATGGGGCTTGATCTACACTTCACGACATCAAATCTTAAGAATGAAGGCAAAAAGGTCCCTTGGATATTGCCAGACAAGCCCTAAGTGTTCGACATTCATCTTGGTCACATTGATTTTATAATCGGCCAGCCATGATTAATTCCCACACTAAATCTAGAAATTATGGCAAAAACGTTCCATTGTAATTTGTCGTGAAAGTTTTTTTGGTCAACTCCTCAGTGCTCTTAATTTTTGACATATTTGACCTATGAATTGGGGATATATACTGGCCACAAGCAATGACTCTTCCGAGTAACATAATTCACGGCTCATTTCTCGCCAAGTTTGTTATCGGTTAAACCAGATGTAATGTGCATACAAACATACGGATCAAGCCAATCACACGTATCATTTGAAGTGATGATAAATATCTCTCAAAGGGACAGCGATCTTGACTTTTCCCAATCATTGATAGTAAAACAAAAGCCTGTATAATTCAGATTTTTCTTAATTTAAAACGGGCCATTATTCTGTCAAAATCCATGCAAGAGCCATGGGCCTTGGCAGTGACCTCTTATTATGCTCCTTAAAAGTTTGTTAAGTTTTTACCTATCGTCTTGGAGTAACCAACTTGTTCGCAAAACCTTCACCATAGTGTTACTCTGACGCCTGGATGAGTACAATAGCCACCCTTGTCAAGCTAATCAAAAGAGGTATAGATCGTAAATCAGGAATGTTGGCACTATTGCGTCATCAAGACAAAAATTTTTCTTTCTTGCAAATTTTGCACATTTGCAGGAATATCATTACAGCTGAAGCGTATGTTACAGTAAAGTTATGATATCATTTATTCCATGTAACATCTAAATCGGTGAAACGCTAAACTTGACCCCCAAAGTCTTGATTAACTCTGGCGAAAGATATAGATTTCTAATTACATAAGACATTTTCTAAAAGGGACAAAAAGGAGTTATTACGGAAAACGGTATAACTTTACGTGTTGAAAATCGAGTACAACACTAGTAGGTCGCGTGGGGGATGTTGCACTTATTCATTATCGCTCACGTATAGTCCACAATTTTCTTGTAATCTTGTTTGGTTACTGTTCCAAAGGATCACACTTAATCCAGTTTGTCATGAAAATTGTCAGCAAACATTTATTTACCTTTTGAAGGTTTTTTATGTCACAAATAAATAAAAAAGTGAAAACAAAACAATGCATTACTTAATGATAATTTATTCTTATATATAATTCAGTGTCATATAAAATTAAAAAATCAACGTACATTTAAGCTTAAACATTTTTTGGAGCATAATAACAAATTATGTACCAGACAGTAATATATCAGAATATAAAATGTCAAATATATTACAGTCAAAATATAGTTGGCAACTATAAAAAAAAATAATAAACTAGAAATGTGTCCACAGGACACAATGGATAAAAAATATAGAAATGTATCATTTTAATTTTCTAATGAATCAACCATTTCTTTAAAAAATGCTGATTAAATTCTAAGTGAAATAGAATGAACATTTTTATGATGAATTATGATATTTTGTATTTCAATTAAATTAATAAAATCCAGTTAATGTCAGTTATTTTTTATTATAACTTTTCTTGTTCCGGCACTTTTTATCAAGGCAAATCATAAAGCAAACAGGTGAATTCCTTTGATAGGTTTTAGAAATGTATCTAAACACAAAGTTGACTAAGACATTTAAAGTAAAAATTGGGCATTTTAAGTATAAAGTCATTTAACTTTGATGATAGGTTTTGAGGAATTGACCATAGTAGAAAAAATTGACTTAACAACAAAAATAAATTCTAGTCTGAAATGTTGTCATGCTTTGATAATGAACATGTACATCAAATTTAAATTGGAATGTTTTTTTATATTTTCTGGAAAAAAAACACACAAAACATCTAACAAAGTTAACCAATGCTCAAAATTCGAATTTGATATAGGGGCATAACTTTACAAAATATAATTTTAAGATTACCTTCACTTTTGAAATGGCGTCATTTACTATACCAGTAATTGCTTAAAAAGCAAAGAAATATACCTTCTGTAACAATCAATTATTGTAATGCACAAGTTCAGCTACTTTGTTTCAGTAACAATTTCTAATACCAACAGCCATATATATTTCATAAAACATTTAATCATACATGTTAGTATATCAACAATGAATACATAGAAAGTTAAATTATGAAATTTGAGCCGCGTCATGACAAAACAAACGTAGCGCGTTTGTGACCAGCATGGATCCAGACCAGCCTGCGCATCCGCGCAGTTTGATCAGGATCCATGCTGTTCGCTATCAGTTTCTCTATTTGTAATTGAATTGGTAAGCGAACAGCATGGATCCTGATCAGTCTGCGCGGATGTGCAGGCTGGTCTGGATACATGCTGGTCGCAAACCCATTATGTTGGTTTTGTCGTGACGCGGCTCATTTGAGTTTTCTTGATTAAAAATGAATATGTTAAATTAACTGAACCATATTAATGTTTGTTCAGTAAGTCAGTCAGTTCAGTCAGAGCAAAAATCTAAAGAGGGTTAAATCTGAATTTGCTATCACCTTACTGAGTCATATATGATAGCTAACAATAATAATAAAAAGTTTGATAGTCGACTAACATAAAGTTATTTTTACAAGCAGCTTTGCTTTCATACTTTACTTTTAACCACTTTATGTGAATTTACAATTCGTACTTTAAACTTTATTACTGTTTACATAACTTCATATGTACTGAATTTATTTAATAATGACATAGCGATAGTTGTGACATGACTTGAAATGTTGCAATAATGTTTTCATTTGAAACATTAAACTTTGAAAAATCCTCAAATTAAGCACATACAACTTTTGTTTCCAGAATTTTGTACTTCACAACAGCAGGTGTCAAGTGCCGTGTGGCAGCCGTAAAAAGTTGCCCCGTACTTCACTTCAGTGTTGTTATATTTTCTGGTCCTTCGGGATCATTGATGCCAACACTATAAAGTGTTGAGAATTGAGTACCGCTCAAGCCGGTGCTAGGGGGCGTGAGTGATGTTGCACTTATTCATTATCACTCATGTACAGACTCAATCAAACCGAGTCTGCAATTCTTATGTTATTTTGTTGTGATTAATGCTTCCGAGGGATCACTTTGTTTCCAGAATTTTGTACTTCACAACAGCAGGTGTCAAGTGCCGTGTGGCAGCCGTAAAAAGTTGCCCCGTACTTCACTTCAGTGTTGTTATATTTTCTGGTCCTTCGGGATCTTTGATGCCAACACTATAAAGTGTTGAGATTTGAGTACCGCTCAAGCCGGTGCTAGGGGGCGTGAGGGATGTTGCACTTATTCATTATCCCTTATGTACAGACTCAATCAAACCGAGTCTGCAATTCTTATGTTATTTTGTTGTGATTAATGCTTCCGAGGGATCACTTTGTTTCCAGAATTTTGTACTTCACAACAGCAGGTGTCAAGTGCCGTGTGGCAGCCGTAAAAAGTTGCCCCGTACTTCACTTCAGTGTTGTTATATTTTCTGGTCCTTCGGGATCATTGATGCCAACACTATAAAGTGTTGAGAATTGAGTACCGCTCAAGCCGGTGCTAGGGGGCGTGAGTGATGTTGCACTTATTCATTATCACTCATGTACAGACTCAATCAAACCGAGTCTGCAATTCTTATGTTATTTTTGTTGTGATTAATGCTTCCGAGGGATCACTTTGTTTTCCAGAATTTTGTACTTCACAACAGCAGGTGTCAAGTGCCGTGTGGCAGCCGTAAAAAGTTGCCCCGTACTTCACTTCAGTGTTGTTATATTTTCTGGTCCTTCGGGATCATTGATGCCAACACTATAAAGTGTTGAGAATTGAGTACCGCTCAAGCCGGTGCTAGGGGGCGTGAGTGATGTTGCACTTATTCATTATCACTCATGTACAGACTCAATCAAACCGAGTCTGCAATTCTTATGTTATTTTGTTGTGATTAATGCTTCCGAGGGATCACTTTGTTTCCAGAATTTTATAAAACCAAACCCTACAATTAAACTAATACACACTGAATACATGATACAACAATTTTCCTGAGTTAAAGCTAAACATATCTAAAACATTAATGAATATGATAATATACAGCTCTTAATATTGCTGTACTTCATAGTGCTTC